AAAAAAAAAAAAAAAAAAAAAACCTTTAAAAAAACAGCTTGCAAGTGTATCACGAGATAAATCATAAAAATATAAGTCACTCGAAGAATATACTTTAAGAACCCTACCGTTATCATGAGAAAGGTTGATCAACACCCCGGCAATTCTCTTCACACAATTGAAAGCGTTCTTGAGAATGCTAGACTCAGGGTCTCCAACTTTTTCTATCGTTTGATGACAATAGTTCAGAAGTCTTAAAAGTGATTTGTCTATTATAACAGTTAACAGTGTATATGAAATAAGTGGTGCTTCTTTAATGAAAGTGATCACCCACCGACCACACGTTTGTATCAGCGCACCGCCTCGGTGACTTATCAAATACGCCTGATTTTTTTTGCTGCAGAAGGTGCACTAAATGAAAGTTTCTTACAAAATAGTCAGATGCAAATAAAAATAAACTTCATATATCAACAAATAAAAATATTCACATTTAATTGAAACAACTGATAATACCAGAAAATTAGAGAACTCATTTAACAAATTAAGCCAGAAAAGAATATTTTATTTCGGCAGAAAATGGGGCGAACGTCGTTTTAAAGCTTTTAGTAGCTAAAAACCGTATGTGCTTCCAGTAAAGAATTTTTGAGACAACAAAAGGCAAAGCAAGCAAAGCAGCTGAGCCCAAAAACCGAATAAAAAATTTAAAATTTCAGTTTACCGTTTCAATAATTCGGAAACAACGCTCCAGATTCCGCAGATCCAGCAGCAAGGTTTCATCGTCGAAAGTTTCATGAACGAGCAGAAGCGACGTTTTATCCACTGTTTGAAAAAAATGACAATAGTTTGAGTAAAAGAAACTTAATTCCAAAAAGCTCAAACAAACCACGCCACAAGGCAAAAATAAATAAACATCAAAATAAGCCCTTCAATTTTTTAAAAGAACACTAAAAACTAAACAGGTCGACTTGTACACCATAATATATGCTCCAAAACCAATAAAGGACCAGACTGTCACATAAGTCTCAAGGTTAGTGTTAAAAATATAAAACAAAATTGACCTTTTGATACCAAGTACTGTAAGATGCCAAGACCAAGCATTTCGTTTTTTAACATTTCATCTTCACGATTACAAGCCGTAATGTACACGAGCGCTTCTAACACAAGTGAAGATGGCTAAAATAAAACCATGTCACAAAAAAATAGATAGATGAATCACGATCTCTTTGAAGTACTTAAAGTTATACCGACAACGTTTGTTCCGTAAAGTCAAACTGAATAGTACCATCGAGCAAGGTATTGGACTCTGTATACCACACTTTTAAAGCTTCCCATGCCTCAAAGAAATAGCTGACAGTCTAGCAGCAAAGATATAACCCTCAGAAAAAAAAGTTACTCGAGACTCTATACGGTTGATATCGCAAAAGTATACCAATTTCGCACATTTCACATAATCAGGGGTTTTTTCTGGATTTTCCATTTTCAGATAAACACTCAGCATCCTCAGAGTTGTTCCATCATATTTAATACAAGCTTTATCGCGAGCCATAACATATATAATGACAGCTATGCAAACGGCCATACTCTAAAATTCCTTTTTTAATACAAACTTTAAGAGCAGGTATAAAACAAGATACAATTTTAGTAAAACTCACAGGAATCTGAACATCATTAACCATCTTTAAAACCTTCTCCAATAAATTTCCTGAGCGAATAAAGCTACGAAAATCTGGATAGGAGCATTTTTTAGCCAATGAAATCAAACTGAAAAGGATTAGGTCAACAACTGTGAAATTACAATCATTATATTAAATTGATGTGCACGGTTCAATTAAAAAAACCGCTGAACTATTTTTACGAATTAGAAGAACAAAACGAGAGGCTCAAACTCAGACAGTTACAGTACTTCGAAATTTGAACAACCAGTAGTTATAGGAGTTTTCGAGTATTTTAAAAAGAAACTTGAATAAAGTAAAGAATATTACGCTACCTCAAACACTTCAAATTAGTGGAGGAATTTTTGTCCAACAAAGTGCTGAGAACGTAATTTATATCTTGCTTGTAATCAACCAACTTTCCTGACTCAAGGCAGTCATTAGCATCTTTAACATTTCTGATTTTTTCAGGACACTGTTGTGCCACTTGTTGGGAGCTCTGTTCACCTGGACTGTGATGAACAACTGAAGTATGACTCAAACGCTGAAATCACTGGTTATTTTAACAAAATAACAAGCAAAAAGGATTTTTTCCCTATATCTTAAATTATTAACTAGTTGCAACAAACAAAAATTATATTCCCGTACCACATGCACATTCTAACCTTAAAAGCCTCATACCGTTATATCTACATAAAAAAATTTTTCCCGTAAACGAACTTCCGAATTAAGGCAGTTTTGTAACATGGTTTACACGTCTCTGCCGATAAATATAAAAAAAAGGCGAAAACAAAAACACTGCATACTTGTGAAACACTGGCAGCTGCAACGCCAGCTACGTCGTTATCAAATTCTTCTTCCTCTTCATCCGAGGCCCATCGATGATTGTACTTCGGCTTATTTTGCGTGGTAGGAGGAAGATAGAGGCTACTGTTTGGAACTTCGGTTTCTGAAATAACAAAGAACCTGTATCAGTTAGATCAAAAAGGGAAAAAAACTGTAAGGCTATCTGAAACAGCGTTAAACCGAAATAAATTTCCTGTTTGAAACAAATAACAAACATACCAATTTTAACTCCATCTTCAGATATATTTTCACTTAATCGTTGACGCTTCACTTCTGGAGGCACTTCCTCATCATCTCCATCAAAATCGTAATCTTCTAACCTTCCAGCAGCCTTGCTTTTCAACGAAGACGACAAAACATCTTTATCGAGATTCTTTGGTTTACTTGTACATGCATTATCATCCTCTCCAAAATCTTCAGAACGAAGCTTGCTTGTTTGGGAGTCAACTCTGACTAAACTAAGCGAAGTAGTAAGGCCGCTTGTTGAAGACTGGCTGTTAGGTTGAGCAATTTCATCTTCATCTTCGCTGGAGTCAGACTGTAGTTCAAAAAATAAATTAAAACAACAAAAGTGAGTAAATTACAAAAGCTTAATGAAACAATTACAATAGCGCCAATACAAAAGGTTTTAAAATGAAAACTTTACAAGAAGTTTCAGATACCTTCTCAATTTCAACCTTGAAACCGTCAGAAGCAGGTGGTGTATTCGTAAAATTCGATGGATTTGAACGCAAAGTATCCACTTTTTTCACAGATTTTAAATCAACAGTCTGTGTGAAGCTAAAATTAAATACATATGTCTGAAACGACGAGTAAGGTTCAAAACAATACCTTAAAGAAACATTTGCTTTTCTGCTACATAAATCAGCTCTTGGCCAACAAGACCAAGTGTCTACTTTCATCTCATGAACCTTAATCAACATCGACTCAAACCAGAAATAGAAAAAAGTTTTGAGAAAAGCTACTAAAGCAATACTACCAAAGCCACAACTTCTATAAGATTTATTTCTAACTTACTTTATTCTCTACTGTACATGAGCAACTTTACACTTATTTTTGTGCACAAAACTCAGCTATGAGGGTGAAGAATCTTAAACAGAAAGCTTTGCTCCTGATCTAAAAAGTTTTACAACCGCATTCAAAATTCTAAGAGTTAAAAAAACCTTTTTTTTGCAACCCAATCCTGACAAAGTTATATGTGATTAATTGAAACTGAAAACAAACATTCTGGCTTCATTTTTGAATGTAGAGGTTGCCTGAGGCTGGGAAGTCGACGGCTTCTGCTTGGAAAAAACTGCATCAAACAGTGATGCAGCTTTATCGTTTGTACTATCTGAGGCGAATGCACCGTAACGCCTTGTCAACTTAGCATTCGATGATGATATCCATGACATTTTTTCGACTCAAAGCTTTAAAACAGTAAAATAGAAAAACCGAGTGATATAAGCTAAGTTCATTTTGACTTCAATTATTAGACGACCAACTATAATCTGTCGTCAATCGTCTGCGGAAACAATTTGTAAACAGTAATAACAAAAATAAAACAAGCGCAAAATGTAATTTTCCAGCTATTAATTTTGAAAAATTATAGAGCACAAGTTAAAAATAGTTATTTATTCATCAGACAGTGCCAAAACAGTACTTTCTCGAGCACTTAACAACCGGCATTTCCTATGTCCAACTTTTTCGCTGATCATTTTAACTAATGGTACTGGTGTAAACAAATGACACTGGTAAAAATATTCTCACCAGAACTAAAGTTTCACTTAACCAAACCTTCTCAGTAACATCCTCTAATACATTATAAGCTTCCGAGATCAGTGAGAATGAGTGCGCAAGCGCGTGGGAATAATACGATTTGGTCATTATCGAGATTTGTGCAGTAGAAGGCTTTGAAAGATTGCCAACTCTAAGAAAACTTTAAATAACGGTGATCGTGCAGTAATGTAGAAGCTTAATATATAGAGAATCTGTTTCTGAGTGATACATTTATAGTACAAATTCGTTCGTTCCGTTGGAACGTAGCCATCGTACGTTAAATGATGGTCAGTTTCAAAAATTTTTGTTGTGCGAATGCATCATAGAGCACCTGCGATTTATTTGCAAAATTACAGCTTGAGCAGAGTTGTGTCGGCTGCGAAGAAAACCTACTGTTTTCTATCAGCGATTTTCAATTTTTGCCGACTTTTATTGACAGAATGCTCTTTAATGTATTAAATTAATAAGCTCCCTTTTTTTCATTCAAATTCAAATTTGATTGGCGCTACTGAACAGAAAAGGACTTTTTGATACAGACGAATGTTATATATTGGATTACACAAACATCAACTGCTTACTTGATAGATTAAGCCCACTTTGCTATAATTGTTTATGATAAATGACCGTAAGTAACTTTTTACTCGGTTTAATAATTACAACAGACTTTTGAATTTTCCTAAAAACCAAACAGTTTTGTCCTGGAAATTTACTCCAAATAATAATATAAGAGGCATAAAACAAATCTTGATTATCAACTGAGGAGAAATTGTTATTCAACTTGAGAATCTTTTAACAGTAAGACTTAGTGAAAGTTACCATACTGAATGCCTACAACTGAAGATAATTTCTGGGGTTGCCCAAGACATTTAAACAGGTAAAATGGGTCCATAGTTGCTATCTATCTGTGCTTCAGGTGGGAAAGAGCAGAAATTTGCAAGCTTTACTGCATAAGCTTGAAGTTACGACTATAACAGACGCAATTTTAAAAAGACTCCAAAACTTTTTGAAAGTGATTGATTCAAAGGCTAGCTTGTTACGTTTTATCGTAAAAGAATGCTGTGTGATAGCCGATAAAGGGAAGAATAGCGCAGGGGTACGAACTACTAGCTTTACATGTCAAAATTAAAGCCAAACTTTCAACAATGTACATTGAAAAAAAGTTACGGTAGTAGTCAGTATACGGTGGAACCCTTTCAACTTAGCGGCTATCAACATTTTCATTGCTGTAAGACCAATTACAGGGCAGCAAACGCTCAAATTTAAAAAGTAGAAAGCCAAGGAAAGTGAAAGCACAGTGAACGAGGGATAGTGTTGTGCTCTGTTACTGGATCCACTTCGGGGTCAGCTTGTTACTTTTAGTTGTGATTTGAAGTAAACTGCTTATGAACTAACGGCTTTTTGATAACAAGTGTGCACTAAAGTCCTTGAACAAAGCTTAGACCAAAGTAAAACCAATTTTGTTTTATTTGCTTTCCTCCACAATTATTCCCGCCTATCTAGAAATGATTAACAAATCTCGGAAATCTGATTAACCCTAACAGTTTCATGGTCCACGCTGTTTGGAAACAACCTACGATGATTCTTCAATCGCAACTTTGTTCAAATTTCGATATGCTTGTTAATGAGAACTCTAATGAAACATAAAACCAAATTTTTTTTTTCCCAGCAAAACATCCAAACAGCTCTACCAGTCAGGTAACTATTAAGCAATCGTAAAAAAGGCGTCTTCTATTGCTTATGAACTATTTGTGACTAAGACAGTTGTAGGTGTGAAACTGACAGCTGTAGACAGTAGACTGTTTAAACATTAGTAGTTCTTACAAAGTTTAAATACAGTTTGAAACCGCTGCATTTTTTACCAACACTGTTCAAGACAATTCATCATCCGCAGGTTTTTTTTTTTCATTTAACTCAGACTCTCCAGTTAGCTTTATTTCACTAGCTAATCATCTCCATTTACCTGTTTGCCACTTATGTTTTGCTACATGACACCAAACCTACTACTCCAAACGGAATAATCTTTACCAACAGCGTCGCAAAGCATAAATTTGCATACATTTTAAATGCCTTCAAATAATACATTATCTTACGACTTGTATAAACCCAAAAGACACTTCTTTGTCGTGTATGTTTTCGCCAAGCAGTTGTTTAAACCATGCCTCGCAAGTCTGCAGCTGTTTGGAAAGTATGAAAAATCTTGAAGCAGAAATTCAAATTCTATAAATGCTTTCAAGAAATGTAACTTTTGATTGACATTACAATACTTCTCACTGTATTGTGAAACTCAATAGTAACTCAATAGTAATAGTATAAACTCAAACTCAATTGACCAAAAATCTTCAAGAGGGTCTCCGATCACTCCTTCCTAAAACTGAAAATGTCTGTTGGTTATACTCTTATGCTTCATTCTTCTGTTATAGGTTTTGCCTTTCCTACAGAGGGTAAATAAATAAATCAGAATTAAAACACAGCAAAAATGTAATAATTTCTGTACAGTTGAAGGTGTTCTAATTCTGACACTTACTACTCAAAAATTGTTTTTTTCTACAAAATTGCCGGGTTTTTCCTAAAAGTTTGATTAAAACAAACTTAAGCCCGCCCATTACAGGTAATCAAGTCAATGGACAATAGAAATATTTGAAAATGATACTTGCTTGTTTGGTTGTGTTCAAATGCTTGTGTCAGGCAACTGTTTTTTGAAGAAACTGCCTACTCAGTATAACAGCGTTTTAGTAGTTACATGAACTAATGTTTGTAGAACTTCATTATGCCGATAACAGCAAAAAGCAGCTAGTAGGAATTCTGGCTATTCATAACAAAGTCCTGCACATGATAGCAAATTACGAACTGTTTGAAAAGACGAGCACATTTGCTGTTTGCCACATAGAGGAACAACGTTGACATCGCCGAAACTACTGAACTGCTGCGTGTTAAACATCATGTGAAACCGGAAGGTCAAACTTATAACAAAAGAAATTGTGTATGACCCGGTCAGTACACAATGCCGTACTGTAAGATTATTATATATGTATGATATTAAACCAACCCGTTTGGTGATGTGAAACAACCTTCTCCTTCCCACCCTACCTGCTGACTCTTTTTGTCCCTTTTAACAAACAAATTTTTCGTTTTAACGTCTCTTTGCACGAAGGCTTATTAGATATTCTCACCAATGTTACGTACGTATTTATGTGCCTGGAGATCTGCGTTCTTCTTTACTACTGGACCTTACTGTTACACTTCGAAAACATATCCGAGCCTAGGCGTCTCCGTTGTTCGTAAAGTCGTAGCAGCGCAACTGCCTGGACGCTGACGTCCCGAGAAGTATAAATTTTAAACGTTTCAAAAACTCCTCGTGAACCGAGGTTTCTGTATACGGTATCATCTATGACCTTGTTCTCTTTAACTTCAAATTTAAGCCAGTCTGCTCAACAACTAAGGTTGCAATTATGCTCTTTACTTATTTAACCTAATGTTCAACAATTAAAATTGAATCCTTTAAAAAACACCGCTCCTTTTATTACTTCTGATTCTTAAGGCAAGTAGACTCCAAAATTCGCAATAATTTCGAGAAACTAAAACTAATTTTTTGCTCCAAACACAAGAAAACTGCGGGTTTCGAATCATAATAAGCTGTTCACAGAATTGAAGTTCAAAGAAAAACAAGGTTCTGAAAGCATCATGCGTTGAAGCGGTAAATTTTCCATATCATTTCACCGTTCAAAGTACGACAGTTTTGTCACAAACAGTTACTATATGGCCCTCGTCGCTGACAAATTTACATATTTTTCATTTCAGACATACCACAGTTTGTATGCTTCTGTCAGCAAACTTTAATTTCATGCTCAACTACTTTCCTCGTTCGCTGTTCACAATTATTGCTGCGTGAATCTTTTCAGAAGCAAAACCATATGATCAGGCAAAGATACGGTAGCCTCAACAAAGAAAGATAATTCGGCTACTTCCTCATTATGAAATAAGTAAAATATGTCTATTTCAACATGGTGTTACGACACAGCAGAGTAAAATTCATATCCGTTAAATTACAACAATGGTGCATTTTTTTTCAATCAAAAGCTCCAAAACAGTTTTGGTCAGTTTTGTTTCCCAGTTGCTTTGCCATCTAAACCCTGTGCGTAATACACAGTGAAACCAGCTATACTGACATTTTAAAATAAACGCTTTATAAACCTCACTACGTTATCCACGACCGACTGACATGGTGCAGGAGACCAACAGCAGCTATAAAAAACCCTTCGTTACTGAGGGAACTGCTTTAAATGAATAGCTTAGCTATGAACGTTTAATTGAAAAACGAGAAGTTCAAAAAAACCCGGTAAAATCTGTTAACCTTTGAATTTGCAAAAACTCCTAAAGCGTATTCCGTGCCACTGGGAAAATTGATCATTGAGAGACGGAAGCTGTTTTGAGTACTTCAACAAGCCACACCTGTTACTCTTCCAAAAGTAACTATTTCAATTAAGTGACTAAACCTCGCAAACGGTTTTACTTATCTTCTTTATTTTTTGTTAAAATTTGTATGAGTCCTGTAAAATCACATGAAAACTTGATCAGTTACAGTCTCCAGTTGCAAATATCATTGATCTTTTCTGCTCACTTCAACTAAATTATCATATCAGCACCTACACTCCCAGTTAGCTTACTACTTCTCATCACCGCCCAAAAAGATCTTCGGTTTTCCAAACTGAATGATTTTTAGAGAACATAAAAAACAGCTATGTCCACGGTTAAAATAGCAAATTATGAAAACCAGTGAAAGCTACTTTAAAATATTATTTCAGCGACACGATTACTACAACTCAACCAGACGTCACAGCTGCAAAAGACTGTAGCCATTTCGGAATTTCAAACTAATACTACCGTGAACAGCTTCCGTTATTTCGCAATAAAAAAATTACTTGAGCTGAATTCGCTAAAGTAAAAGCACCTTACACACCGCTCAATTGTACATATTTGGAATTTCCATTTTAAAACCTTTGAAGTGCAGAAAAGTCCAGTTCCTAGTTTCAAGGAAGTCCCCATACAAAGTATATAAAAGCGAAAGAGATATTTAAATGAGACGGCTCGTTCTGAATTGCTCTGTTTCTATTTCCTCCTTAATGTTTGCTCACGAATGTAGTATAATGTGTAACGCAAGCAAAAGCAAAAAAACAGATGGGAATTATTCTTTAGCTACCAATCGCTAGAAAGCCACGCCTTACTTTTTCTTTTTTGCATCATCTGTGTATGAGTTTGTGCAAAGCAAAAGATATGCAAAAACGCAAACAGCAAAAACTCCGCTGAGCGACATCTCCAATCTTTATTGCCATCGAAAGACGCGCCCAATTCCCACCGGCTAATTTTGGCGCTCTTTCATGGCCATACCCAGCCACTGGACTGCTAAACAGCACTATTGCCATGGCGTTTGATGGGTTAGTGTTTCGTAAGTGAAATGCCCGCCAAACAACGTATACCACAAGTGTTGGCTGAGTGCCACTGCTGTGTTTAACGGCTGAATATGGAGACGGCATGTGGCTACAGGGCGCGGCACTGTTTTTCCCCGCTCTTCCGGCGTTCCCGCGCTTTTTTAAATAGCAGCATTTGGGAGGAGTGAAAGGATAGAGGAACTGAGTTACAGAAACACAGGTTTACTTACGCCGCTTGGTCTCGATGTTGTTTGGTCGTTGTGTGTTGTTGTGTTTTTTTTTTTTTCTTTTGTTTCCGTAGTTTATATTTTTTTCCTGTCGCCTTGAATCTGTTAAAGTGCTCTCTGCTTTCTGCTCTGCTGTTCTGGCACAGTTGTAGCTGGAAAGGACCTCTTTGTACTCCGTAGACTTCATTTTAGTGTTTTTTTTTGCTTGAAATTTTTTGGCCTGTGATTAATCTTTTTACTCAATTTATTTCTGGCTACCTAAGGAATGTTTCTGGTGATTTTGAATGTGGCACAAACAGTTTTTTCATTTGAGTGGCCAAAGCAACGATATTTTTTGGTGTGTTTTCAGTTGCTCATGAATTTTAGGCGTGGTAAATCTTTGGCCTTAAACTTTTATTGTGGAAATCTACGGATCAGTCATTGCTTTTTCTTGTGTTGAATGTGTAGAGTCAGATGAGAAGCACTTGTTTTACTCTATTTCCTATATATTTTTTATTGATGTTTGAGTATAGTGGTGCTAAATAGCACTTTCTAGCAAACATAGAGATTGAAGGAAAAAGTGAGGTGCCGTTTTTGGACTGTTTCACTTGCAGCGAAACGTAGTAATTCTCTTGTGCATAAGCTTCAAAAACATGGTGCACGTGTGAGTTTATAATTGCTGGTGGTTAATTTTTTGGCGTCAGGAGTGTTTCTTTATAATTGCACAAGCAGTTGTCGTGGTTCTTTAATCTAATACCTCCTGACGCCGTGCTGAAAAGGATTTGAAGTGTTTCGTTTTGCCGGTTTCAAGACTTGACATTCAGGTAGTAGACGTAATTATTGTTGCAAAACGGTTGTGGTTCTCATACGAAGCCTGTCGTCTTCATCCATTTTTATTTAGTGTTACGTAGGAAAAGTTTATAATTAATGAAAAGGCCCAACGTAATTTTGATAAAACTTGATGAGATGGTCTCCTCTTACTGTTTTGAAAAAGTGCATACAGTCTTGTTTTGATTAAGGTTTTTTGATGACTACGAAAACCGGCTGATTTCCGTTTTATGAAGACTGTGAGCTTACTAGCGAAGAAGGTTAGCGTCTGATTAGAGCTGTTTTCTGCATTCCATTCTTATGCTATTTTCAGTGAATTCGATATTCGTAATGGCTGGAGGTAAAGGTAAAGCAGGGAAAGATTCCGGTAAGGCTAAGGGGAAAGTGATCTCAAGGAGTGCAAGATCAGGTTTGCAGTTCCCAGTGGGCAGAATTCATCGTTTTCTGAAGCAGAGGTGACTGTGTTTATTAAACTTTCTTTCGCACTTGCTTGAGACCCATAATTCCAAAGGTTTCGAAATCCTTTGTGCTCAATTCGTATTTAGTTTTTCTGAAAAAAAAAAAAACATGAAGTTTTGTTTCCTTCGTGGCAGTTCTTCTATCCAAGAATTATTCGCTTATGGAACGGAGAGTAGTAATTTTCAGGACAACATCTCATGGTCGAGTTGGTGCTACTGCAGCAGTATACAGCGCTGCTATTTTGGAATATTTGACTGCTGAAGTTTTGGAGCTTGCTGGTAACGCTAGTAAAGATTTGAAGGTAAAGAGAATCACTCCGCGTCACTTACATCTAGCGATTCGCGGTGATGAGGAGCTCGATACGTTGATTAAGGCTACAATTGCTGGTGGAGGTAAGTGCTGTTTTTTGGAGTTGTCTCATTTTAATATATATTCGGCTTATCGGATTTTTCAGGCTTTCAAGTTTTCTGCGTTATTACTTCAACCACTTTCAAATGCACTTTGTTCCAGGTGTTATTCCTCATATCCATCGATACTTGATGAGCAAAAAGGGACAGCCAGCACCTTCAGGCGGGCAGAAACCGCCAACGGCTTGAGAGGACGTTGCGCTTCGTTGAAGTGAGCTGGCCTCATCATCCTTTCCTTCTGCTGTAGCGGAACTTTTCCGTACATAATCCTTTTTGTATTGTAAGTGTCTTTGATGACCACATGTTATTTATCGTTTAATTTTAAAACTTTTCTTTATATGTATGTACATTTCATTTTCTCCTATTGGTCTTCTGAAACCCTTTTATTGAATAATGTTTGAGTTTTGATGTTTTTGCCGCAGATAAGTGTTTGGATGTTGCTTCAATCCATATGTACTTGCATCTTTGGAAGTGTTTGTATCCGTTTAATTTTTGTTGTATCATAATGTTGTTGCAAATAAAGCTACAATTCGTATTTTGGAGCTGTGTTGAACAGCTGGTTAACCTCGTTTTACAGACCACTTGGATGCAGTTTTTATTATGCAAGATCTAACCTATCTACTGATTCAGAGTAATCATGTTCTGACAGTTCTCGCGTCTGTGAACGGGGCAGAAGCTTGTCCGGTCGCCAGTGCGTGAGTACGCCGTGTTGATTCATCCCAGTTTCTCGTGGAGATTTTTGGTTTCAGCTTCTGCAATCACCCGGTTATGGTTGGGTATGAAGCGTGAGGGTAATTGGGTTTTTGGTTTTCCTAACCATTTAGGTCCCGCATGCACGAGACCCAGTCGACAAATTGAGCGGAACATCTTGCGCTGGCATCCTCTGGAGTTTCTGCGTCCATCATGCATTTGTAAACTTTTCGGAAGTGGAATCCACAGTGGTGGGCCACCAGAGTGCCTCCTCCCATACAGTCGCATGTCCAGTTAATACTTCCGTCTGGAAAGCGAGGACCTGAATGAAGTTTTAATTAGTATTTCTAGCAAACCTGTTGGTCATCATAACAAAGGAGTCTTAGAGTATACAAAAATAGTTAGTGTGAGATGGGTTTTTCAATTGCTCTTTTAAGTGCTATTTGGTGGCAACAAATCTAATTTGAAGCTGTAAATCAGGCTCCTTCTTGAAACAGCTAAAAACTTCAGAAGCAGGCGCAGATTTTTTATGAAAGGACCATGGTAGTTTTTAATTTTACTGAAATCAGTTTTGGAGAGGAATGAAATATGCGGCGTTATTATCATTGAACATTTAAATGGGCAAATCAGCTCACCTACTGGCGTTTCCAGCTTCTTGTAATCCTCCAGGTAATCATATCCACGTCGTATTGGTGACTGCAGTTCTTTCGTTGTTAAGAGCAACTGTGTATGTTGACTTTCTTTTGCTGTATCTCTGTCGATATTAGGTGCCAAAGTAGCGTTTTCACTGCCGGGACTGCGAATAACTTCGTATTTTTTAAAGAACATACTGTGCAGATGAATATAATTACGCCACAAGTAACAATTAAGCTTGAGATGTAGATAACTTGATGCCTTTGTTTTAGCTGCACAGAACGCGAAGAGAACACTATTACTTTATAAATCATTTTTTTCAGACGCTTTTCTGCGTAAAGCCAGTGTTTTTTTCGGGAACAACGAATTTTTCTGCTGGCGACTTTCCAGTTCTGCTCCCGACAAACACAAGCCGTTTAATTTTTAGATTACTTCACAAGGTCCCGCCATAAAGATATGGTTGCTTTCCGGAACAGTTTTAACTGTTCAAATACAAAGCTTGTTACGGACATGACTGCGGGACGATTTTTAATTAAGTATTCAGTACCCCCATTCTGATATAGTTGTCAGAAAGCCCTGTTAATGAGCAATTGAAGTATACTGTCAGACTAAGGGTAACTTACCGTTTTTTCGATTTGCTTTTCACTTTCTTCAATTACTTCGCTTTCCTTGTAAAAGCCTGCTGCAGTTCCTTAATGTTTTTCTTCTGTCCAGGGCACTCATTCAAGAACCGGCTTATGCCTGCTAGAAAGCTCCAGGAAGAAGCTACTATGTTGGTTTGTTTCGAGTTATCGGGTCTTTTTTTGAGTTATTTGCTTTTTTTTGTGTTCTTTTACCTTTTTTGTTTTTCCGGAAATTTTTTCATTCATCCAGGGCGTTCATTCCGAAGCCAGTCTTTGTTTGTTAGGAAGTTCTAAGAACGTACTGCTCGTTCACGTTGGTTTGGTCAGAGAGTCGTGGTCGATACCTTAAGTTACATGCTTTCTTTGTGCTCATTTCTGCTCTCAGAGGAGCGTTTAAGAGGGTGTTCTTGGTACCGCAACGTTAGTGCAAGCAGTACTAGAAACTTCTGCACGTTTTTAAAGAAAAAAAAAAAACCTGGGAAAAGAAAAGAAACTGAACTTATAAAATGCAACCTTGACCACTGCTCAGACTAAAATACTTGAGTATTTTGTTTTTGGAGCTGTCTACTGAGCATAGGCTAGCTTCAGGACGAACATCTTGCATGGGCAAAAAATTTTTCTGAAATACGAAGAGCGCAAAACAACGCAAGGAAAGGCACAGATCTCGAGAAGTTAGTCGTGGCCCTTAATTCAAATAACGAATGAAATCAGTTCGTTTTTAGAAGTCCCTTATAAGTGTAATCTGGCTCTTGAATGAATCCCCTTAATGGATGGAAAGTGTTCCAGAAACACAAAAAGATATTCTTATATCTACTTTCATTTTTTCGAATCCACGTAACATTTTTTGCAAAATAAGTCTTTTTTACATTGGCATTTGAGCAGTGTCAGTAAGTCGGTTTTCGTTTTATTTCTGACTTTTTTGCTTTTGTTTTTTTATATTTTTTTCTTTTTTTTTCCTTTTCTTTTTTTTTCTCTTTTTTTTTTTCAATCTATTAGTTCACGTTCTTTCTTTTACTGTTAAAACCAAGAACCTCAACCGAGGCGCACAAAAAGCACTAAAAAAATTTACGTTTATGTGAGGAGACCGGTAGGTGAGCAAAATCCTAGAAACGTACCATAAATACGAATGGGTCGAAACATCAAATGATATTTGAATGGAATTTTTCTAGCAGATATTCCTTTGTTAAACACTGCAGATTTTTTGTGCATTGTAAATTTTTTGTGAACTGCTTGTAATTTTATTTCCAGTATATTACTAACTGTTTCTTTATAATTCTCAGTGGTAAAATAGTTTAGGATCGCGACTTCACTCAGGGTTATTTTCTGGCGTCTACAACCTCACTTCGCTCGGACGTGACTGGTTCGCCTCCCTCCTCCGAAATGCCGCGGCCAAATGCGATACGGCAGATATAAAACAAAGGATGGTTAGCTGCTACGGATTCTTTGAGAGGGAGCCCTCTAAGGGCAACAGAAAGGGCCAGTACAGGGGTTAATTAGGCGCATAAATAAACGGTGGTGCTCAGCATTTATTATTTTCATTATATCATGGTCATAATACAGTTTCCGTCGATATCTTTGCTTACGGTTTCTCTTAAATCACTTTCTATATGTGTCCAAAGGAAGATTGCTATTGTTTGGTATTTAATTGTTTTTAATAAGAATTACTTGTTTTTCTTATTGATTTTTTCTTAAGCTACCAGGCTTACAGTGGTTAGTGAGACCGCTTTTCTCAAATTTACCTCTGTCTACTTTTGCGGAGTGTAACAGATAAATTAGTTGAAAGGAATATTAGCTATACACATTATACGTTTGGGCTTAGGGTCAGCTTCTTCAACAGGAAAGACAAAGGGTTAAGCAAGACTTTCCTAGATATTCTAATTGGTGGTCCCAATACAGAATAAGGAAGGAGTGGTCAGTACTAGAAGTCTAAGGGTAGATAACGTCCTGGACTTATATGAGTTGGTGTTGTTGGTGTTAGCAGAGGCTAATTACTTTTACAGTCATAGTTTGTAGAAATTAGGTCCTAAAGGACATCAAGAAGAGAAGATAGAGAGGTTTCGTCTTCAATTTTAAGAGACTGTCTTTTAGACGCAACACGTTTTTAGAGCTTTTTACTGAGTGTACACTCGTTTCAGAACAAACTCCCCTAAAGGATGAAAAAACTACTGTTTGTACAGAGGACACGAATTAGCTCAAAAGAACGGCACACTCAAAAATTTTTCTCTTAGTCGGGCTACCTTGGCTCAGCTGGTGATTTGTGAGGCGTTGTAATGAATACATGGCCTTTCGGGAATGAGCATCCCAAATGAACAAAAACCGGCAAGAAATCACCCGTAAGAACCCTCACTTCCGGGTAGTTGGAGTTTTTCCAGCACAAGAGCATTTCTTTTTGGCGGAGGTTTTAGCGATCGGACAGAAATTAAAATACGTGAAAATTACAGTTGAGCTGTGGCATTGTGCCAAAATCATGGATTTCAGTTCGTGGTTTCATCGCGATAGCGCGTTGAAAAGGTAAAAGTCGTTGGGGCAAATGGTGCTGTTGTCTCATTGAACGAACATTGAACTTCGCCTTACTTATAATTGTCAGTGTGGGAACCGGATATCTTTGCAAGAGTTGAATGTTGTTGTACTGTTTTGATGAAAAAAGGGTTTTTATAAATGAATGTTGAAAGCATAAGATGTCTCATGGCGTAGATTTGACGCTGTGAGGTGTATTAGAGCTAATTTTGATTGTTTGTTACGTCTTGTTTGTTATCTTGTTATTGGAAATCGTGGAAGAACCGTGCGTCAAATTGTTGCGATTTGCACTTCCACGGGAAAAATTCACCTTTTCTCAGTTAATGGGTTTTTTTTCAAAATTATGCTGTTTCCGGAACATGTTATTTTACAGATTGATGGTACTGTGATAGATTCGCTCTGAAATTTTACTAGTATAATAATGCTTTTTAGATCTCTTGGAACAGGAAGATCAGTCGAACAATGAGTGGTGGTTTGTATGGTGGAGGTAATAGTTATTGTTATTGTTGTCGATATTATTATTATTAATATTTTTCTAAAAGCTATTAATTATTTTCTTTTTGATAGAGCTCTCGATTGATGTCCTGTTTAACCTGTTTCTTTTTCCTCTGATACTGTTGTTTAATCCTTCTTTCAACTTTCCAAAAGCGTCATTAACAAGTTTTTTGTACCTATAGCTTTACAGTCTGAGTATTTTTTTGAACGCTTCACTTCTGCAAGTAATTTCAAACTAAGCTTTCTTATTTTACCCAGGTAGTTTTTCCATTCGGGAATTAAAGGTTCTCATCACCTCTTTTTTGGTTTTTTTTGTTGGTTCCTCATCTTTTAAGGTTTCATCGTATTCGTCGTTTTCATCTCAGCAGTTGGCTGCGCAGTAATTAGTTTGGCTTGTAAATTATCACCACGTAGAAACTGGTGAAAATTTTTGAAAGATGAATTTTAGATATATTTTTATTCGAGTGGAAAACATTCTAAGTCTTAAAGGCAAGAAAAGGGATCTCTTTACTATTTGCTTCATTCTCTCGTTATTTTTATTTATTCCAGATGAAGTTGGGGCTTTGGTCTTCGATGCCGGTTCACATACCTTCAGAGTTGGATTTGCAGGGGAAGAGTACCCAAAAGTGAGTCATGTGACCAGATGTAGTCTGATTTAGTTCGGTGAAGCTTAATGAAGCTAGTTAACCGCCTTTTTTGGTTTTATTTTACATTTATCATAAATTTTTCTAGGGCTTTCACAGAGAACCTGTTTCTTTGAAGATTTAAGTAACTTAAATTTTTTGGTTGGCCATTTCAGCAGAAGAAAAACATTTTAAGTGTAATTTGCAAATAACATTTCTTGCAGTTCTCTTAGTGTTATTAATTTCTACTGAAATTGTTTATTCTTTTTCTTTTCTTTAATTTTATTTTATTAAGTAACATTTATTTTTATAAAGGGTGACATTCCAAGTCAAGTGGGCGTGCAGGAATTGGTTGACCAAGTTGATAGTTCAGTAGACCAAGTTGCTGCTCCCAAAAAATCTCGTAACTACTACATTGGTAGTACGCATATTGGTGTCCCAAGGCCTAATATGGAAATTGCGTCTTTAACTAAGGATGGGATGAGTATGTAAAATTTAGATCATTTTATTTGTAGCATTTTTAGGTTACAGGTTTTTCAGTGTTATTAGAACTTACTTGAAAACATTTTTAGTCGAGGATTGGGATATCTTTGAACGGCTTGTTGACTTTTCATACAGAAGAGTTTTAAATGCTGAAAGCCAGTACCAGCCAGTTTTATGCACAGAACCTGCTGTTAGTTGTTTTCACCTTTGCTTTTGCTGCGAAATACTGCTTTGAAAAGTTTATTCGGTAAAGGCATCTTGGAATGGTTTAAATTAGTCTCTACTTTTCAAAAAAGAATAGTTACCAAATTTATTATCAGCGGTGCTGATTATTTTGATGAGATGGTAGAGATAATCAGGTCTTTGTAAAAGCACATAAGCTTTTTGACACTCAGTGACTGTTGTATTAGTACGCAAAAGCAGTAAATTTTACTCTCACGTGTTTTAGTGGAATATTTCACCCAAAAGAGAAAAGTTGATCGAATTGATGTTTGAGAAGTATAATGTTCCCGCCTTTTACTTGATCAAGAATGCTGTTTTGGCGTGGTATGTTCTCTGCTCCAAATTAACATTTGTTACGTTATTCAATTTCCTCTTCTTCTATTGCTGCCTAAATTTCAAATAGGTCGCGAACTACAAAAACCGTCTAACTGCATCCATTTATTTCAAAAATGCAGTGGCCAGTCTTATCAATAAGAAAGGCTCTAACGGAAAGAGCGAATGCTTTGGAACTGCTAACACTTACTGTGATGATCTGAAAGTATCACGGAACTTGTTTTGGTTTGATGGCTTCAATTAAAGCTTTAGTATAGTAGCATTTTTGATTTTTAGTTTTTTAAATGTCGTTGTGTAACCTGTTCTTCGGTGAGTGCAATGGTAATCATGCTGTCGGCAGTCTTTATGCCAAGGCAGAGTAGGAACATTGAAATAGGAAAGGACATGGTGAATATGTTACTGTAGTAACAGCATATTCAGTGAGCTGCAAATTCATGGCAGAATTGTTCCGTACAGCTCAGAGATTTTCAATGAACGTTTCTAAATCAAGAGTTTTTTCGACTTTGATAGCAATATATTTTTTGTATTATAGTGTCCAGTACCTACAGGACTGCTCCTAACTTGAAAAACTGCTTCTTGTCGTAACACATTCTAAGTTTTGGCATAGCAGTTCCATTTGCGAGCAGCGGGAGTAGCCCAAATTGAGAAATGGTTAGGGGGTCTAATGAAGGTAATGTATAGTGTGTAAAATACATATCTGCTGCTTTTATAGTTTTTATTCTTAATACTGGCAGTAGTCTAGTGGCGGCTTTTTAACGGATACCACTGGTAACAACTAATTTTGGTTCTTCCATATTTGCTGTTGTTAAGTCTATATCTGAGATTAAGTTTGACTGTATTTTGAAAGACGTCAGATAGTTTGACTTGCGTTTTTTTCTGAAATAACTTCGCTTTGATTTTACCGGTGTCGCAGCGGAACTTAATATTGCTTGCACTGCGAGGACAGGTTTGTCCTTGATAGCTGAAAGAACTCTGTCGTAACTGTCGATTGATTCGTGAAGTTGGACTTTGAGTTTTACCGCTGCTGCTTTTGCTTTCCTGTACTCTCCACTGAAATTTTTCTGTTTCTTTTTCATGAGATATGGACGTTTATATTGCTGGTCTAATGTTTGTTGATTTTCCTTTGAGTTTACTACGTGATCAGTCCTGCTTACTGCAAAAGTGTCATTTTTTGTGGCGATGGTAATTGTAATTAGGTTCAGGACAAGTTGAAAAATATCACTCGCTGCTTACATTAAATGCTAGTTTAAAATGTTTGTTACCTTGCAAAGATGTTATGTGTCCTAAGCAAACCTTCAGTTGAAGAGGTAAGATAATGCGGGGTAGCATTCAGACAGGGTTTTGTTCCGAAGGTGTTTTTAGTGGTAGCGAATATTGATCGATTATTTGCGAGGTTCCTCCAAGAAATTGGACAAAAACTGAAATGAGTGGTAGTTAAAAGTGTTAGCGGTTGTAGTTTTTATACGTAAAAAATTTATTTTTTTTTGCCTCTTCGAGCTACCTTTTTTCCTCCAACTGTTAAAAAGGTTTTGATGTTTTACGATGTTTATACTTTCTCGAAAATGAACTAGCCATTTTCCTTTATAGTTGTTCATTGTTTCTTTCTAAATATGGTGGTACTTATAGCTTTGCCAATGGGCGAACTGCCGGTTTGATTGTTGATAGTGGTGCGTCTCAAACTTCTGCGGTGCCTGTATATGATGGTTACTGTGTTAACAGAGGTTTGGTAGTTGTTGTTTATGTCAGCTATGCTATGGTTTTTTTAGTTTCAAAACCA